TAAATAAATAATATATATATATATATATATATATATATATATATAGGTGTTTTTTAAAAATTTTGTTTGGACTAAAAAAATGAAATCAAAATGTGTAAGCTTGGTCATAGAGTTAGAAGATATATTTTCTCAAACCTCTAAGCTGCCAAAAAAATTTTAAAACTTGGATATATTAGGAATAGTACACCAAAATAAGGTGTACAGAAATATTATTCCTTTTAAAAATAGTGCAAATCAAGTAGATTTAAAAATATTTAAAAATAGATAGTCTATATAACTTGTTACAAAATATCTGTTTTTAAGACTTAAAAATCTTTTTTCTCTTCATAATACACATCTAAAGGTCAATATGATCAATTGGAGGTTCCCCAATATCATAATGTTCACTTCTAGAGGGTTTTTGATGTGCTCCTTACGTCTATAGTTAGTGTGTGTGTGTGCGCTCCAATATCATAATGTTTACTTCTAGAGGGTTTTTGATGTGCACCTTACGTCTATAGTTAGTGAATGTGTGTGTATATATTATAGGGCAATAATTTCATGCAACGATTGTATCATAGAATGATGCGACCGTATTTTTAGAAAATTATATTTATGGCATTTGTATGACGCAAAATTTTGCACACACACTCTCTCATCTCAATAAACAATTTTAAAAAATAAATATATAATTTGTACCCTATATATGGTCAAAATGAGTTCCTTCCAACAATGAATCTAGAACATCTATTTAATGAATTTCAATATTTAGGCCTTTATGAATTCAAATTTATTTTTTCTTTTTTAATGTTGTTAATCTAATGAATTCAAAAACAAAAATTCACATCGGCATCCCTCAGAGTTGGAGACGATTGTTGGTTGTTGGTGGTGCATGTAGCCACTCCTACACTACCTTCAGAGATGGAGGTGACGATTCGTCATGCATGTAACCACTCCTATAGTAAATGGGTGCCTATAAAAGGTTTATAAAAAGTCTCCAAGACTTTGGTGTTTACCATGAGCTTCAAGCTTGGGTGCATAGAGCTTTGGAGCATAAAAGATATCCTTATGTTTTCTGTATCCCGAGGATGAATTATCCTTTTTATGCACACCTATTACAATATTGAAAGGGACAAATATCGTCTTGAAATAGTGCTCATGCATGCTTGAAAACAAGAAGGAATCACGCTATATTTCTTAATTTCCATAATCTTTTTGCCCCTTTTTCATCTCACCGAATCCCATTGGCTGAAAGTACAATTTTTGGTGGGATTTAAGATGTGGTTTTACTTAAAAGGAAAAAATTTATATAGAGGTGAGGCACTAAACAATCAAATTAGGGCCTACCTCAAAAATTTCACTAGGAAAAATTGTTTTGATACCCAAATATCCTCAAATTCATCATCTCAACATCAATATGCATAGACATGGGAAATAATGGATTGTAGTGTTAGAAATAGTGCATCTTGTAACCCATTTTTGGCCCGTAAATTTTCAAGGTTTTGAAGTTCTCATAAATATGCTTGATCTACATTATTTTGGAAACTTTAAACTTTATAATTAAATATAAAAATATATTTAAGGCTATCACAAAGAATTACAGTATTGAAACCACATTTCTGGATACCATTTGAAGGTATGCTTTACTTTGATTGTTTAGAGCCTCAGCTCTATACAAACTTCAACCTTTAAATATTATATTAAATATATACATATATTATTTAAATTTTATAATTAAAAATATATAAATATATTTATGTAAATATTATTATAATATTAAATATTAAATATAAAAAAGTTTATATAAGGTTGCAACCTTAAAATGTAGAATTACATATGCACCTCAAAATCTATTGGAAATGGTGTTTTAATGTTGAAAAACCCTTTAATTGATCATCTCGACATTGAGGTGTATGAATATGAAAAACAAAAAGTTTTGAGTCCCAGAAATAATACATCTTGCAACACATAATCTAGACTGTCCATTTTCAATATTTTCATATGTTTATAGA